ATGAAATATCAGACCCGTACGCTTCTGCAGTATCTGGACAGAGCATATCCACATTTAAGTACATTAGTATTGACTACATAACTTTATTCTGTAAATGGCCTAAGTTTATGCAAACACAAGTTCTTTCCTTGGTGACTAATGATATGTTAGCACGTTCTCTTATGGTTCCCACGCTCTGGGATAGCGTGGATAGGTGGAAACTTCTTTTGCAATTCAGAGTTTGCATTGATATATATATGTGTTCATGCCAGAAATAACCCTACAAATCTCTGTTCTGCTTCAAGCTAGAGGTTTCAGGTTCTTAGGGATCATCTGAAAAACAGCTGAAATGCAACATATCTTGTTATCACATGGCAAGTATGGCCTAAGTCCAATTTGTTACAATTAACATGTAGGTGTAGCTTTGCCAAGCATCATATCTAAGACTTTATACTTTTAAACACAAGCTAAGTGGGGTTCATATGAATGAAACTTTATGTCATTGCTTGCTCCAGTGTATTGAAAACAAAATGTAATTGGCCAATTCATGTGCACTCATACACTACACCTGCCTAACTAAAATCATCTTTGCATAGCTAATTCTCTGTATACAGGTTACCTAATCACATGCTATCAATAACTATACTCCCCAAACATTCTGTGGAAAAGCTAGCACAGCTTAGCCAGCACCAATAAGGAAAGGGTTTGCAGCAAATTTTTGTCACAGCTGAAGCAAAAGAGGAATCAGGCCCCATATCATAACCTTCAACCAAATTCAAATCTTAGTCTGCTCCCCAGATCTTGTAGTAACTTCATAACTCACTGACATTATCTGGCAGTCATTCAGAGTTAGGATTTGCCTATTTTTTTCAACAGAGATCTTTAAAGAAACCAATGGAAGAAAGCACCTGACTGTCACCGAGACCTGGGAAACCTGCAGAAGCCTAGCACAGAAAAGCTTCATTTTGTACTTGAAGTGTTTAGATAAAAAAAAAAAAAAAAAAAAAAACAACCTATTTTTAAAAAAAGACTTCAAGTCTTCATTAGGATAAGGAAAATCATAGAAAGATTCTCTCCTCTGCCTCCTTTTCCCTTCATACTTTTTCCTTCTCTGACAGGAGTCAGTGGGAGTTTTGTCCTCACAAGCCCTTTCCCTTCTCATCAAGTCAGCAAAGCTTTTGCCTTCACTGTCACTGCCTGTCTCAGCATTTGTGTTTCCATTGTTTACAATGGGAGAATCCTACGCTGTTCCTCTCAATCACATTTTAAAACCAAAATGCAAACATGATCATTCTGCTGTTATTTTGGGTTAAAAAAGAAAGAAAGAAAAAAAAGCGTTGTTGGCTTGTAGGTGGCTGAGTAACACAGAAAAGAGCAGAGTAAAAAGAGAAGGGAAAGAATGAGAAGAAAAAAATGTAAATAAATCCCTGGAAAACCTGATTGATTTATCTTTCGTGCACAAATAATTAGCAATATAGGTCTGATCCCTTTTTCTCAGTGTGGTAAAAACAAAAGTATGTGTCACGTTATGTACATGAATGTTTTTTCCAGACTCACATCTGTGCCTTCAGAGCTCCTGCAGACAGTAATTAGTTCCTTCTGTCTTCTGCAAAAGGCTGCACATGTGGCATTAACAATACATACTTACAAAGTGAGGCCCCAGGAGCGTGTGACCCAAGTTTTAAAAAAAATGAAGGATCCCTTTCCTAAGCTTTATTTTGTATGATTTCAGGATAACAAAGCTGCTTTATTAACGTACATCTTAACTGCACAGGCTCAACTGTTAATTTTCATGATTTTGTTTTCTGCTCACAGACAAGATTACAATGTTAAATGGTGTTCATGTTCAGACAGCAAAGTAAATCTATCTCAGCTTTTTTTGGAAAACACATAAACCATCCACAACCATGATATTCACATAGTTGTAAGATATTGTAGAAAGCTATTTAATTTAATAGCCCAAAGAGAAATGCCTGTCCAAGCCCCAGCCAAGAATTTTAAGTCCTGGCTAGAAAAAACATAGGGAAACACGATGCTTTGAACCATGCTTTGGGACGCTTTTTTCTATCCCTTGGTTCCCACACTAATCCTGACCCGTGTTATTAGGTACCAAGGAGGGGTACTCCAGCATGTGCCAGAGGGACTCAAATAGAAGAGATGGGGTTTAGGGAATAAAAACAATTGGATAATATATATTTTTAATAGTCTCTTTATAAATATTTCTGCACACAGCCTGCACACTCTTCTGTGTCTGTATAGCACCTTGCATACTCTGGGCACTGGAACACTGCAATAATTTAGGCAGACAAATAACTTGCAGAGAATTGATTGCTACTAGAACAGAGCTACTTTTACACAGCACTAAGCACTTTTGTGTTACTGTCCATACTCTTAAATGGAGACCTATTCAAAGCTTCGCATATTACCCATACAATGCTTTAGCTTCTCTTTTAAAGTAGTAATACAGAAATTGAATTTTCACAGAAAAATAAAGGACATATGGCAGGTTACCTCTTACAGTGGCATAGGCTAGCAATGACCACAAGAATCTCAGGCATATCAAGAGGAAGAAATTCTGCAGGAGAGTGAGAAAAGCTGCTCCCATAAAGGACAGAAATTGCCTATTTGGTGTTGGGAATGCTTGCAGAAAGAGTAAGGAAAAGCTCAAAGCTAAATGGAGAGAGATTTTTGCAAATAGCAACTTATTTCGTTAACATTTTAAAGTTCTTGTTTTAATTAGTTTATTTATTTATTGAATTCTGAACTTCCACTCTCAATATCTGATGAATCTGGAGAACATCAGACGCACTGAGTGGTCAGAGAATGACATAATCACCACAAAAGGCAACCAAGATTTAGGCAGGTTCCTTGATCTCACTGAATTTTACACTCTTTTGTCATTTTGTGAATCTAATAAGCATTTCTTCCCCCAAACACTAGTAGCTAAGGCTTCTCTGGTTTGCAGTTTGCATTGTTATTCTAAAATAAGGCTCTGAGCTATTGCTCTCTCAGGACTATCGATCTTTATTGCCAACGCTTTATACTGTTTGGCCAGACAGTAATTCTTCACTTGCTTCCTAATAGCAGTCCTTGTTCCATTTTGGCAGAAAATAGTCAGTCATTTCTGTTTTGTTTTGGCCTTGTGTCCTTCCTCTGTCCCTAGTCTCCCAAGTAAACAATGCAAAAAGCTGATTACATGCTCTGTTGCTCTAGCGTTCATTACTTTCTTTGCCAAAACCCTTTCATGTAAAAATATTTGCTATATTGGAATACTAAGAGATGTAAGAGAATTAAAATTTGCCACTCTTGCCACGGAAAACGTAAAAGGCAGTGAGAGACTGTGAATCCCAATAATAACTTTGAAAATGCAGCGTTGGATTTGAAATGATTCCATCTCCTTACCCCTTCCCTGAACCTTTTTCCCAATAAAAAAATTGTGGAGTAATAGGTACAAATATGTGGAAAGGTATGTAGAACAGTACTATATATTTTTGCAAAGCGTGACAATTCTTGAAATAGAAACACAGAAACCAACATATTTTTAAAGCAACATAGCACATTTTTGGCAAAAAGCTACAATGAGAGAATATGCTTATACTCTATACAGTTGGTTTGTGTTTACACTACAAAATCATCACAACACAACCAGGATCAGTCCTAAAACATAAACTTTGGTTTAACTAGTTGTAGAGAGGTCTGATGATTCCCAGCATCTTCACAATTACATCAATTAACAATCTTTCTAATTGGGATAAATGGTCAACTCAATTCACATTAAGTATTATTCATAGCAGAGACACACAACCTGTGTATAAAGCACTGCTCTAGTATAGAACAGCAATAATACCACTACCACTCAGGATTTTGACATGTAATGATACACCAAATTCAGCCAAAGAGAACATGAGATAGCTACCAGTATAGCTAATTTCTCAAGGTTGTTTGCTATAATTCAAAAGTACTCCCTTGATACCAAGAGATTTTACTAATCTCTGCTGAGCAGTTAGCTTTTCAAATGCAATAAAATATCCCACTTAAGCATTCTTATTGGCTGCACTGTCTAGCAAATCTAACTTCTACGAAAATTAAATCTATTTCATGGAAATAGAGGAACTGAGTCTGACATGGAAAGAGTTGCAGGCAGCTGTGTGATATAACAGCTTCCAGATCAAGTTTTACTCATTATTATTTACAGCTCTCTTTCTCCCCTTCCTTCTTTCTTTTGATCAATTTACCTGGCAGTTTTCTACATGCATGCCAAAATCTAAAACCATTTGTTTCACGTGGCAACTTAAAAGACACTGCTGTACAGGAAATCCTGCTAGCTACTCAGATTCTTTTTCCTCTCAGTCAACACATTTTCATGGGTACCTACCACAGCCACAGCCCTGTAATGGGCTGTAGAAGGAATCTCCATTGAGGAGTGATGCTTTTTTTTTTTTAATAGGATCCATAGTAAATACATGTGCATGTAAGCACAGGTATACATACAGTTAAAGCAACATGACTGGATTATGGATTTATTTTCCTTCCACAGAAACCCTACGTGTTGTGAAGTAACAGATATTTTCAGTCAGAATATCAGACTAATGGAACAAAAGAAATGTACTTTCGTACATTTCATATAGTACTATCTACACTCTGAACTTAACTTCTGAACCGAATGCATGGCTCAGCTTCTTACAATAAATGCAGCTTCAATCTAGACATTCTTTAGGGCACTTATTTTATATCTATTATATATATATATATATATATATATATATATATACACATATACCACAACATAGAGTACCTCAAGGTTAGATGAAGGATTCTTTACTTATAAAACAGTGTGTTTTAACAGTAATTTCTCCCTTATTATTATAACAGCAGTTACTTTATTATATAGCACTATCACTTCCTAATATGTCTTGGATAGGACCAAAGTGTTATGAATCACATGAACGGACTGAAGTCAGCTCACATTCTTCTACAGACCAGCCTCAGAGAGCGGGAACAAGGGCAGAGCAAAAGAATACCTGAGAATGCTTGGAGACCCAATGCCGCAGGACGTTCAGGACACGGTTAGTGGCTGCTCTGCGTATTATGAACTCTTTGTCACACATGCGTTCAGAGTTGTTAAATCCTGTAATGAGAAAAAAACAAAAACACCTTCACTGAAATAAATGTTAAAAGCAGCACCAAAAAGACCTTTCAAATACAGTATTTATAATGTAGGCAAGTTAAAAGCACAAACAACATGTGTGTGTAATAAAAGGAAAAAAGCCTTCAGAGATGACATGCAAATACAATCATTTAGGCTACTGAAATTCTGCAAGAGAGTAGAATACAGCCTTGTCCATTATAACTAATACAGACACATAGTCAAGGTCAACATTCAGTTTCAGGAAGATGTAGGATATTTGTTGATTTATTAACATAGAATTGATCTCCTTGGTGTATGGAAGAGGAGTAAAACACAGGGCATTGTAATCAAGAGGATTACAAAAGGAATGTGAATATGATTTAAAAGAGGAAGACAAAGGTGTTAAAGAAATAGGGCAGAGCAATAGTTCAAAGGCAGATGGGAAGGTCAACAGATAAAATGCTCATTTTACAAGCAGGATTGTGCACTGCAGAATGGCACTTTCTCTATTATAATGTCACATTTTTGTTACATTTGTTCTCACACTGTGCTGCTTTTATTATCACTGACTGCAGAGGCCAGGGAACAACTGGAAACTCCCTTCCACATGACCAGCACTTCACAACTTTTTGGCATAAAAGCTGCTCCAAAGCCTTTGCATTGCTATGAATAACAAAAATGTATCACTCTTCTATTTATTCTGTTAAAAAAAAACACTGAATACTTTTTTTAGGAAAGTCAGTATTTGTTCTGTTCCTTTTTTATTAAGGACATTTATTAAAAATGATGCAAAAACATCCAGACTGCTGCTCTATAGTTTTTGAAAGTTAAGCAGGAAAAGAAAAGTTCAACTGCAAACATGTTTCTTCAACAACAGGTTGAACCCCAAGCCCCAAACTGATTTTCTGCATTTATAGCTCATTTATAGCTCATATAGCTAAAAGATTTTGTTGACTTTACTGTTTATGGACAGTGAGACTCCTGAAGATGTTTTAATATGAAACTTCCCTTAGTGTTATGTTATCTTACATATCAACTACAGTATAATATTACTCATTTTAAAAAAAAAAAAAAAAAAAAAACAACCTCCATCTTCAGGAGTCTCACTGTCCATAAACAGTAAAGTCAAAAAAAGCTCATAGGCATTCCTCAAAGAAAGGTAATCTAGGTAACATTATTTTGTGTTCATTTTTTGTGATTTGCACAGTTAACCTCTTGCAGAGCCAATTAGGAATTCATATTATAAACTATACAGCTAGCCACTTAACGGCAGCCATGAAAGTCACAATGAAAACCATATATTCTAGCAGTAGAGTCTTAAGAAAAAGATTAGAGGAAAAGAAGTTTTGCTAGGTTGGAAGGAAAACAGACAGAAATCTACAGAGACAGTTTTCAGTTAGCTGCAGAAAAAAATAAAAGAAAAAAGAAAAAAGGATAAAGGAAACATTTCATAGACCACTTAAGCAAACTCATGCTGCTCTCCAAGTTTCATCAGTTTTTAAACAGTAATTAGTTTGTTGCAGAGACTCAACAAAATGTTCACTCTCATTCACATAGTCCGTAGTTAATGCTGATGCCTTGAATCTACAAATAGAGATCTCCAATTGTGTGAGGAAAGAACTTAGAAGAACACAGATATACAGGCAAAGATGTGAATTTAAACTCAAGTGACTGACTCAAAGTATATCTTCAGGTACCAGACTTCAAAAAAATAACTAAAGTCAATGAAATAAAATCTTTTTCAAAACAAAGCCAGAAGTTTATTAACTCTACCCTGATCTTTGTTTTTAAATACCAAAAAGAATCAGAAATCCAGGATGTACCAGCTGATGTACCAGCTAGCAGGGAGGTTTCCTTCCTTTATGCTGCATTTATAATTTATTGCTTTTTATTAAAAAAAAAATCTAGAGAAAAGTTGGTGAATATTGACTGTAAAGGAAAAAAGAAGCTTCATTAACCAAGAGGTGAAAACGCACAAGAGAAAATACTCAAGACCATTCAAACTGCATAGGAGAATGCTATTAACTTTCAGGAACCTCATAAAACCCAGAAAAATAGCAAAGATGTCACCTGAAAACAAATAAGATCAGTAAGCATTGTTGTTTTCTGCTTTTTCCATCTTGGAAAATAGGAAAGGTTTCAACTTTGTCAGTAAACAAAAGAGCAACAATAAAAACAGATGTATATTTTAAACACAACAGCATTAATGGAAATGGAAAAACATGTAAAACCAAGTCCCTGGCTAGCACAAGACCTGTTCTTGTGCTTTCCAACTTTCAAAGCCCTGTGGACTTTGGGAAAGAAACTCCAAAGGGGAGGAAACCACTAACTAGAATCAAATGCAACAACTACAGAAGCAACCTGCAGCTGGGAATGGTGAACTTTGATGGTGCCATTACACTTACAAAAAGGGTTTTTGCACTTTTTGGGATAAAATTTCTTTTAAGACATTTCTTATCTTTTTCCACCTACCTAATGCTCTCCTAATGCAACTCCAAAGAAAACCAAACAGGACAAATGCAACACTTCTGTATGCACGGCATAGATGGTTATGCATATTTTAAGGAGTCCACCATATCAAGCTTGATCTGGTTCTGCACACTCTTACTACCAGTTATGAATAACACAAATTTCTGCTGCTGCCTGTACTGCAAACAGGTCAAACAAATCTATCCTCTAAACACAACAGCTTTTGCACCAAGTGACAGTGGGGCCATTCAAGAAGGAACTGAAGAACTATTTTTTCTACAAAATACAGTGACATTCAGGGCCATGGCTGGACGACACATCACCTGCTCTGCCCATCCATATGCAATTATCCCCGACCTGCACAAAGTGAACATATAACAAAGCGCCTGGTGCACAATCTTGCACTGCAAGACTTGTCTTCTCCTACTGAACTCAATGGCAAAAACGCATCACAACTTTATTAGGGCTCGTTGCTTGTTAAACACCCAGCACAGGCTTATCACTCTACTAATGCAAAACAAATGCATGAGAGACTGGGGCAGACAATCAGCCTCCTTCAAATACCAATAGAGTTTCATAACAGAGACATTTTATAGGTCTGCTGATGTACCAGCTAGCAGGGAGGATGCTGACCAACAGTCAGATCAGATGGTGAGCTGCAAGAATCAAGGCTTTAATTATACCTCGAAGCCGTATTTGTCCTACAAAACACATATCTACATCTACATCCTATGCATCTAGCATTCTACAAAACAGTTGTCAAAAGCCTTTTAGCATTGCTGCAGCCCTCCCAGGGTCCTCCATACACTTGTACCTGTTCTTCAGGTCAGGAATAGCTCCTGGGATTATGTGAGCCCTAGTATGATACACTTTCCATCCATGACTTGGACTCTCAGGCACTGCTGCGAGTTTACATGTGCTGAAAGAGGACCAAAAATAACGACACTCTGTCAGCTGTAGTTTTATCTAGCTCCAGTATCCAGCAGCAAATTTTTAAGGAAATAATATTAAGAAGGCAGTTTTACAACGACCCTTCCCGCAGTGTGCTCTCCTTGGCATTCAGCAGTTCAGGGGCTGCTGATGCTCCACTCAGGTCAGTCCGTAGGTCAGCCAGAAGGCTTTAGGCTAAGCTCATATTCTCTGAGGCTCCCAGAGAGAAGAGCGATGCAGGCTCTCTGCTAGCAGAACCTTAACATTTGCAATGTTCTGGTATCAGATGTCCAAATTCTGGATTGAGCTATCCAGCCAGACTTGCCTATCTCAAAACTTTACAGTGAAATAACCAGTGTCACAGGAGGAACCACATGGAGATTTGCTTTGAGTCCTCCTGTATCAAGTTTTTCTTCTGAAGGAAGCAATCTTCCAACATTAAAAATACTGGTAATATTTCTAACCAGCAATATTCTTAGTGAACAGCTGCCTCAGTGTGAGTTACTTTCAAGTGTTTTTTTTCCCCCAGTATTCATCTGTTGAGATGAAAATAAACTATTTCTACAAATAACCTCTTCATGTAATAATGATGCAGAACTTTTACCACAGGCTGTCAAACACAGTGTTCACTTGCCAGCACATTCAGCCTTGGCTGGTTCCAGTGAATTACTTCTTTCAATTTAATTTAATCAGATACTTAGCTTTAGACTATGTTACGCAAAATCCAGTTTCCTCTTTAGGTATTTTTTTTATGGGCACTAGAACCAAAACTAACATTTTTAAGGCTTCTGCTATCATCAAAGAAAAAAAAAGAAGAAAAAAAAAGAAAATAAACTTAATTTTCAATACCTGGACACACAAACAGATTAAAATAGAGCAACATGTGGTTCTGAGATAGCTCTTTTTATCTGAAAGTCTAATGGTCCAATGCACTTTTCAATGGTAGATGTAGCTATCTCTAAATCATAAAAGGAACAAGACTCAAGCAATCAAGGCCTGCAGATGCCACAGTTTGCCAGTGTGACCAGGGAAACAGGAGTCCCTGTTGCAAAGTTCTGTTGCACTTTTTTCTTCTCCTAAGTGAACCTGACTTCATCAGCAGTCACATTATTTCCTGTTCAAAATTTTACTCCAAGGAGGAACATTTGTAATATGTTAAATTCTGCATTACATATGCTAAAAAAATAAATAAATAAATAAGTATACACCTTTTATTTCACTTAAGATATCAGAAACCTGAGTCAAGTTACAATAGTTGCAAGTTCTGAGTATTGTTCTTCTACACTACTATAATAGCTCATGATTCATAACCACAGTAATAAATTTGTCAAAAAGAAATCTGTTTTCAAGGTTTATCTATACAAAAAAAATCATTTCAGTTCACAAAACTTAGGGGTAATCTGTTTAAAGGTATGAGGGTAACTTCAATATGTTTCTGGTGATTTTTTTAAAAAAAGAAAATCTATTTTGGAAAGATTTTATAGGTTAATGAAACTGAAATGCTCTGGAATCATGTCCTGAAGGTGCATTAGTATGTGACATAGGTGAAAATTCTACCTGTGGAGGTCATAGCAAGCCCCCCGCACCAGTCCCTTCTGAGA